CAGATATATATACTGAAATCTAGCAATAGCAAAGCATTGACGGGTCAGCTAGTTTTGAAGGTTTTTTTGGGAATGAGTTAATAAAGTTAGCACACATTGGTTTAGTACTTTAGTATTGTGTGCACCATTGCTCCTGATCAAACCAAAAGAGTTTTCAATTGGATACTGGTTGAAATTTCTCAAGAGTATGTATTTGAAACCATTATTAAGAAGATTTGAGCAAATTACTTGTAATCCTTTAATAGTTTTGATCCAGTTTGCAACAGAAGAAATTACTTTTTTGGTTTTTGTATCATACCGCATACTTTGTAAAACATATATGGTTACCTGTAAGCTTGGGAGTTAGACGATCCCCTCCAGCACTTTAGTTTTTGTCCAGTTCATAAAATTGAAAGACAACATTCCATGATGCAATAATTTTTTATCATAATGTGTAAAATTAAGATCTTTTGAAATTAAATTATTTCTCAGACCTTCCAACAAATGAGTAACATCATAGATAGGTATGATGTCTTGAGTTCCTATTTTAAAACCGAATCCTTTACATTTTTTAACTTCTGTTCAATACTATTTGGAGTGGCCAGGAACCGGCGGCCTGCTTGACTATTCCATAAAACCATTATTATTTAGAATATCTTAATACGGCTCCAGAGTTTAAAAAGAAACCTAGCTAAAAATAACATAATTCATAAAAGTACAGCTATTTCTAGTGATGGGAATTATTCGAATATTCGAATTCGAATAATTCTAACGTAAATAATTCGAATATTCGAATTTTTGAATATTCGAACATTCGAATATCAGTATTCGATGCTACAATATAATACGTAACGAAAATTATTCGTTTAAGTTTTCGCACAACACAAAACGTTTAATAATAATATTATATGGCTTATAGTGCATAAAGGCCTGCGAGAAGTGGACTCGAAGCCAGCGATATTTACTATTTGACAGGGCAATTAATACAAAAATAAAAATTATATAAAATACTCGAATTTCATAATTAAATTATATTTAATAATAATGTATAAGTTACAACAAAAAAATAATAAATAAATAAATGGTACACAAATTTAAATGCAAAAAAAAAAAAATATATAATTGTGCAAAATACATCACAATTAAATTATTAATAATAATAGTAATGTATTAGTTTAACATATAATTTATAATTTAGTAACAACAATAAATAAATAAATAAAATAAATATCAGTAGGTAAGTTTAGAAGAAAAATTGTTCATTATAAATTAATAAATTAACACTCGTACGTTTAACTTCATTGATTAAATACATTTTACATTTTTAATTTTTTGTTTTGATGTAAGAAGATAAGTGCTGATGCGTTCATCGGATCTAATCTGCTGCGTTTAGAAGTGATTATAATTCCAGCTGTTGAAAAAACTCTCGGAAGATGCTGATGAAGCTGGTACTGACAAAATTTGCTTAGCCAATAAAGCTACTCTTGGATATTGTTTTTCGTATTGTAACCACCAATTATTTGGGTCCAAATTATGATTTATTTGTGGTTCTAATAAGTATGTTGTAAATTCATCAATATTTTCTTCAGAATCATTTCCTAGTAAAGTGTCTAATGCTGTAGGTTGTATTGGTGTAACATTATTTGGGATATTCGATTGTGTACATAAATTTAATATTTTTGATCACACTTTTTCTTTTATGTTTTTTTTTATACTGTCGGAATACTCAAAATTTAAATTTTTATACCTAGGGTCTAACAAACAAGATATTTGAGCAATATTAACTTCTTCCGGAGAATTTTCTCCAATTTCGAAACGAACTGAGAGCTCTTGTGAAACAGTAGTTTTAAAATTTGTCATTAAACTATTTTCATTTTCATTAATTTTGAGATGTTTAAGAATTAAACTATGAATAATTGGCCGAATTAATGAAATTGTCACTTTCTTATCGGCACACAGAACAGTAGTTGCCAAATGTATCGGTTTCAATAAATTGCAAAGAATATTACAATGGTCCCAATCTTCTTCAATGAACTCTAACTTTTTGGCTTGTTGTCGAGTAAAATGCGTACGATCAGCCATTTCAGTGACTATTCCTTGTCGTATTGCTAATAATCGTTCAAGCATAAACATGGTCGAATTCCATCTGGTTGGGCAACTTTGTATACGGCTTAATTTTGGTTTGCCTAGTTGTTCTAACACATTTTCCAAAGCATATGATCTTTTATAAGAATGTTTAAAAGCACTTACAATACTCGATACTCGTTTTATGATGCTAGAAAATATTTGTATATCTAGGTAGTGCTTTTTTAATACATAATTGTAGAGTATGAGCGGCACATGGATTACTAATTATTCCATCTAAAGACATCATTTTTACCGCAAGAGTTATATTGGCTGCGTTATCATGGCTAATACACTGAACTTTATTATCAAGTTTCCATTCAGTAATAACACTTTGAATTGTTTCAAATAAATTCTCTGACGTATGACTATGAGTAATTTCTTTAGTACAAATGTTAAAAGATTCTAATTGCCAAAAATTGTTTATAAAGTGTCCTGTAACTGTGATATATGAATCTACGTTTCTGGATGTCCAACAATCTGTGCTTAATGAAACTGAATTTAAAGTCATCAATTTTTCTTTAATATAATCGACTTTTTCATTATATTGTCCTTGAATACGAGTAGTTATTGTTTTTCTACATGGGACGTTTATCTTCGCAAATCATATTACATATTGACTGCGTAATAAGTTCACTACGAATTTTGTCTATAGGTCGTATAGTACAAGCTGATGCAACATTAGACCTACGAACAGTACGAACCTTTTTTGTTGTACAATGGTAAGGCGTTGAACTCGAAGAACTAGAACTGGAAGTTGAAGGAACACAATTTGAATAGTCTGAATCAAGAGTGTTGGTACCTATTGGAAGAAATCTGTTCAGAAATTTCGCCGTCTTTGTCTACATCACTAGTATCACTATCAATCCGGACTCTACAAATTTATTGAAAACATTTAAGCTTTTGAAAACAGAAATTAAAGGAAATGTTCATAAATGTATTTTTATTTCAATTTTGGCCTATAATAGACATTTTACATATAGGTAATAGGTTTTTATTGTTTTCAAGTTCTAAAACGAATAATTTTTAGTTTGTTTTTAATAATAATATAATTATAAAAATTTTTAAATAATAATTTTTAAATTAATAATTTTAATAATATAATTTTTATTACGTTACTCTAGTTAAATTCAAAATGTGCTCTTACCTTTTGCGAACGACATCAACTCCATTCTCGGGTTTATGTTGAGAATTATAATGATTCCATAAACAGGTTGTTGATTTTGAATGCTTAATTACTTGGTTACATAAATTGCAAACTGCTGACGTATTTTTGGTATTTGGTGAAAAAAATTGCCAAACTTTGCTTTGAGCCATATTTTATTCACTTTGAAAGTACAAATTTCGAAAAGAAAAGTTATAATTTTAAATAAAGATATTATATAACGAAAGACCATTTACCAATTAGAAAAACTCAATGTACATTGTATAACACAGGTACGAGAAACGAGATATCGGCGATAACGAGTAAAATAAAGCTAACTACGAACGAGCACTTGCAAGATAAGAACAATTTTCGTATTTAGGTCGATTAATCATTGACATACATTATCTTTATCTTTAGTTGTGTAGATATGTGTTACTTATTAATAATAAATAGGTATTGTAGCATCGAATACTCGAATATACATTACATTACTAGTTTAAATGTATTGTTTTATAATATTGTATAAATGTTAAATAAATAATTGTGCAAGGTGTTGTAAAACGTTTCCACATTGTTGCGATCCAGATGTGGAGTTCGGTTGACAAGGGTCGAATCAAATGAATTTACTCGTAGATAAATTAATTATTGTTATATTTTTATTGACGTTGTAGGTTAGTGTTTAAACACTTTTTTAAACACTCAGAGTAATGTTACAATTTAAGACAAATATCTCTAGCATGAATACTGTCAACTAGTCGTCACGCAGAAATAGTGTGACTGGTCTCCCTGATGTGGGGCCTTTATATACTAGACAAACAGTCAGATTACATGGTCTTTTACAAGGTCCTACTTAAGTATTCACAACGCATCTTTTATCAACTTTTCCTTGTGACACTTATTAATAGTAATTAATATATTGTGCCACGTATGCCGTGTGTAATACTGTCTTAATAATATCTTCACGTGTGGTCACTCTTACCTTGGCTATCTCAACAACATTCTTCATAAACATAGTTGAGATTTCATACATTATATTATCGTGTACCTACATTATAAAATAATTTAATTTTACTACCTACTTATTTTAAACGAATCCAAATTAATACAACTTGAATTTACAAGCATCGTTTACTTAACATTTACTTACAAGTTATTGATCTACTTCATATTTTGTATTATTTTATTACAACTTCTCAGCAGTGTGTCTATGAAGACTACTATGGATTTTTAATCATTTGAATTTGCTTTTTCAATGTTTACAATCACTGTCTTAGTTATAATAAACAATTTTTCTGAGTCAATATTTTGGCTTTTATATTACCATGATAACGATGGTATTGGTATTGCCCATATTTTATCAAAACCGGTCATAAGTAAAAGTACCTAATAATTATCAGGTTAGTTAGGATAGTAAAGACCTAGTATACCCCCACTTCAATAACTTCCACCAAGATCTATGTATATAATAATAATAAATGTCTTGAAAAAAGCATGATTAAAATTTGTTATTTTACAATCATTGTTGAAATGTAGCAACGATTTATTTATAATATCTATTCTAAATTGTCTTTCAGGTATGTGTATTGACATAAGAAAAATTCACATAAATGTAATTAAAATAATTATTATATTATCATTACATGAGTATAATTTACAACGTAACAGGTAAAATTTCACGATATTCAAGTAGGTAGCAACTAGCAGCTATGTATGTTGACCGACAAGAAACAAACCGCACCGTTTTGTTATACGATTTAAATGATCGAAACACTAACCGCTTGCAACAGTATTTCTATAAGGGAGTTGATTTCTTCATTTGTTAGTTTAATACTTGCGAGAAGTCTAATGCTGGGAGTGGGAATCTTGTATTCACGATCACTCAAATACGCAGCTGTCGTTATCGCTACTCCTTTTGATATACACTGAAACAAAATTTATAATATCATAAGCCAATGTTAAAAATTGTTTAACTGAAAAGTATTTTGATGGTTACCCACCATCAACTGATTTTAATATTGTTGGTAAATATTTGGTAGCTTTTTGGAGCTTACAGGGTGAAAAATTAATTAATGGCACTTATATTTTTTTGAATCTTACTAAAATTAAGAAAGAGTTCAGACAGTGGAGTATGCAGGATTCTTCAATGAGGGGAGGGGGCTTGAAAATGTATAGTTACAATTTTATTTTTATCTTGTCCAGGCTACTAATTTTCTGACCTGTAGTTGAAGTATTTGAAAAAGTATGTACAACTTCAACTTCTTAACTCTTCAAGTTGAAAAAATGCTTTTATTATCAACTTTGAAGAAGGTTTTTAGTAGAAAATTGTACCTAATTAGTACTTTAGGGAAGCAAAAATTGAAAATTCTCATTACTATTTAAAATACCAAATCGAGAAAAAAAATTGTTTAGTAACCTAAGTTAAACGGTCTTAGTTTTTATTGTCTTTGACTAATTCTAATTTTTTTTTTAAAACATCTATAAAAAATTACTCGTTCTTTTAAAAAGCCTAAAAATACAAGGTCCCTCATAAGATTTATTATGGCTTTTTAAAAATATATAAACAACACTTTAACAATCATTTTTAATAAGCATTTCAAGTTCAAATGTTAACAGAACCACAATTAATTTGTAGTTAAAAATATATAAATATACAAATTAAATTATGAGTACCTCCTAAATAAGGTCTACGATTTATGACTTACGTAATCAACAATTTTTTTCAATATTTGCTGTTGTTCAGAGTGTAATAGAGACTTATCTATTAGGTATAAATGTTTAAGTGGACTTGATTCATCAGACCCAAGAGTAAAGTGTTCGGTCAGTTGGCTATTGCAAATACTTTGATGTAGACTTGTGCTCCTTTCTCGCAGTTTTTCTAAAATTTCTGGATGTTTCTCAATCTGTTCCAAAGCTTTGATGGCGGCCGCTGATAGTAATGGTGGTAGCGATGCAGAAAAACAGTATCCTGAAAATTAAATACATTAAACATCATACTCTATTTTAGAGAACCTTCAAATGTAAAATTAGCAAATTAAGTACTTTAGGCTATTATGAAAATATAAAACTACAGAAAACGAAAAATTGTATAGGCAGTTGAAATTATTTAAATTACGAGGACGACAGGACGTGCTAGAATATTATCACTCAAAATTTAAAAAATGAAATTAGTATGTCTTATACTTTTAATAATTTACTGGTGTACCTAATACGAGCTATGCATTTATTTATATAATATTATACTAATCGTTTTAGCTTCATATTTTTATTTTATTTTTATTAAATATACAGAATAAATCCTTTAACATACATACACATTATACATATTACATTCATACACATCAATTGTACAGTTTATGATATAAATATTTAAATTAATGGCTTGACAGTAATTTATAGGTATAGAAGACACGAAGGATCGACATTGACATCATAAAACAATTGGTTCATTTTTAAGATAATTCGTGGATGGAAAAGGAACATAAAAAGGAACAACAGATCGGGAGTGACGTTGAAGTGTACCATAAAACAAATTAAGGAAAGCAAATCAAGAGAGTCAATATTACCTCGTAACAAACTGTTGATACGTTGTTGCGTTTTTAGTCAGAAAGGATAAACCTATAATTTTATCAAATTGAAAAAACAAGGCTTTGATTAAAACCAATATAAAAATGTATATGCTTAAAGAAGAAAAGACAACAAATAAAATATGTTCATACGTCGTGGTGATTCTTAAATACTTATTAAAAGAAATGTATAAAATGATTATAAAAAAATATACTTACTACTTAATATACATTTGTTTGTATCTACACAAATATATATACCTATTAACATTGCAAAAATGTTGATTTCTTATTTCTCAAAAGGAAAATTGTTCTACTTCTCTGGCATTATTAAATTATTTTAAATTTCATTTGTATTTCTAATCATCAATGGCTACTTTATATTTATACTATGAGACCAAACTTATACAACTAATAATATCAATTTTTTTTTACCAAGACCAGACAGCCTCTGATGTTCGACAACAAATGTTGAGCCTACGCAAAAACCACCAACTGACGACAAGGCTGTCTCTAGACTTCCAATGATCAGGTCGACTTCGTCTTTCTACAAAAAAGTAAACAATATTAATATTCTTTGTTGTTTGTCTAAATATGATATAAATTTATCGTTTCATAGTAACCTAAACCTTTATAGGTTTTTGTTGTGAAATTTCTTTACGAAGGGAGGGTATAACAAAATAACACGAAATGTTCACGACAAAAATAAATAAAATATAAATCTTATAAATCAGATTATTATTATTGTTATTATTTTTATCTATTATAAAATTTAATAATTATTGTGTAAATAATAATGAGCGTCGTTTTTATTATAATTATAAATATCAAAACAATTGCAGGGTATAATAATATATTGAATCATTAATACACTACTACTGGTACAACATCAAACAGTTCCAATAATTGTACTTTGATTTTAACTTTAAAAAAATAGGTTATGTCTAAAATTAGTCTATACTGAAATGAGAGGAAATAAAATAAATAGAATAAATAAAAAGAATCAAACAAATAAATTATTCTATTAATCGTATTAGTTTATACAAGCCCTTATTGCGAGATGGTTAATTTTCAAAAAAGTTAGATATCACTAAAAATGTTGAAAGAAGTTTCCCTTCATACGTGCGTGCTACCGCCTACCACACTCACAGTTTTTTTTGAACATAGATGATAATATGTTTTTTGACTGGATAAAGTTTTTTATTTTCTAACCAATTTAGACTCATTTTAGGTAACGCTTTGTTAATTGCCATAGAAAAGCAAATCAAGTATAAAAAAAACTTATTTATGATTTCTCAATTTTTCTTGAAGAGCAAAAATATCAAACTTGTAGCTTTTTTTTTATTTCACTACTAGTTAATTTAGCTTAATTTTAGAATATGTAAGCAAATAACAACTCTTCTTAGTTATCAATTTCATTTAATGGTTGAAAAAACCTATTTCCTTTTGAGTACTAAATAAAATTGTGATCATCCTTAGCGGCAGTATTGTAAAGTCTTGATTAAATTAATTTGAACGTAATGTATTTTAAAAATTTTGAAAAAAGTACTTGGACAGTTCGAAAAATTATTTTAAATACTTACTTAGAGTATCTATCTGTATTTAAAAATACATATTATTTTAGGATAATATATTTTCAATTGTAATTTTAACTACCTACGTAAAATTAATAATTTATAAAAAATATATTTTTTTACTGTAAATTATAATCAACCAAAAAGTAATGAATATCTTACTATGAAATAGTTATACATAATACACATTGTAAAATAATTCTATAAAATGTACCTACGTAAAACATGAAAATCTGTTCCGTTGATTTATAAGGTAAAAAAAATTGATAGTAAGTACTTAAAAGTATTTATAAAACAATACATTTAAGTATTTTAAATACTTTTCAAAATAAGTACAGTATCTTGTACTTGAATACTTCTAAATTATAAGTATATGTTACAAGACGAGTAGTTACAGTGGCAGTTACCGGTATATTAAAATGTTCAGTAACTCCTCGACCTTTTTCGCCAAGAATGCCGAATGATATGGTTTCGTCAATGAATATGCGGATCTTATGTTTTATTCGAATGTCGATCAATTTTGGCAAGTTGCAAATATTTCCGGTGTTCATATAAATTCCTTCGACAATCAGGAACGCTCTTCTGTTTTTTCTTCTCTTCTGTAAATTATGTAGGGCGTTATATGAGGCTTATATGAAACAGAATAGTTACAAAAGATGTAACATGTGTATTTAAGTTTGATTCGTACAACTTAGTTTATCAGGACTTAATTCCTATTTATTTAAGTACTTAAAATAATACTTTTATTACGACGATTATTTATTTAATATAGTAACAAGTAGTTAAAATTGAGCATTAATATTATTTATACTGATTACATAGGTATATTATTTTTTACTGTTTTCAAAATTCATTATAATTTAATATTTCTATAAAATTTGAAACCAAAGATATACATTCAACATTGTTACATTTGGGTAAACAGTCCAGTAATTGAACAGTTAAGGATTTTTCACATTTAAAATTCATTTTTACTTTTGTTTTTGGAACCTTATATCAAATTCATATAAAGTATGTAGTATGTACTACATATATATATTGCTAATTTTGCCAAATCTCATAAGTCATAATAAATATGAATAAATAATATCAATTTATTAAAAGTTCAATTAGAATTGAAAAAAAGTACAATAACCTAGTGATTGAACACTATAAGTTTAGTTTATTTTTTATAGTATTATTTTTAATTATTTATATTTTATTTTATAGCTATTATACAAATATTAAAATAAAGAACACAATTTATTCAAATATATATCATAGTAAAAACTGTATAAATAACTGTTTAATAACTTTTTACTGAATGTTCAAATATCTACTTATGTATTTCATATACTTGTACAAGACTGCTGATCAGGGCCGGATTTAAGGGGGAGGCACTGGGTACCTACAACTGCCCCGGGCGCCAGTATTTTAAGGGAGCCAACAATTTGTGGTCTGAAATTTGTTTACTTATGAATTTTTAAAATTTTATAATTTTAATTATTCTAATAACAGTGTTATGTAATATAATTTAGTTTAATAGTATTATATATGTACAGTATTATGCTGTTTGAAATTTATTATTTAAACAACCAATGTATTTATATTTTATAGTAATAGGTACAGGTATCAGCGATCGATAATTATTAATATACCGGATAATAGTTCCCAAATTTGTTGTGATTATGTCAATGGACATCAGTTATTTATAATAATACGGACCACACTGCGTATTTTGCTATCGTGCGCGGTGTGTCAGAAACACAATTATTTCTTATTACTTATTAGGTAGGTAGTTATAGTCAACAAACTTTAGCGTTACGAGCCCCAGCATATTTTGTGAATGATGCCAATATGATAACGTATTATTTCTATAAGTTGTCAGTACTTGTCACTATTCATGTGTTGATTATTCATTTATTATTATATTTGTTTTATACTTTTATAAAATTGAAATTATGACCGGTAAAAAAAGCTAAGTGGTAGTGAAAATCGTAAACAAACTTGTTATAACACAAAAACAACTGAATGTTATTAAAAAAATGCAAAAAAATTCAAGACTTGTTCTGTGAAAAAACCTCAACAGTTGAAAGTAAATATACACTTATGTCTAAAGAACATAAATTATACTTACAAGTTACAATTAAGATTAATTTAGTATTAATCAGAGTTAACCTAACCTAATCAAAATGTGGAAAAATAAATAGTTTAAAATATGTAAGACCTTAAACCATTAAACTTGATAAAATGTGTCTAGATAAATTAAAATTGAATTTGTATAAGAGTTCAATCAAGTATTGTTAGGTTCAATATAATGATACTAGCAAACAACAAGTGTATTTGAAGTAGGTACTAAAATATTGATTATTTATGAATTATATAGTTTGACTCTGACACGTTTATTTAGAATATTTACCAAAAAATTTAGCTATAATATTAGAAAATAATTTTATTATTGTATAATACTAACTCAAATCATTATTTATTCATTTATAAAAAAATATTTAAATTTAATTATTTATATTAACATCATATTATATTCAAAAACAGACATTTTCCATAATTTTGATTTTATATTTGTACTAAAATTAAAAATAATATATTTCAAAACACAATTCCCGGAGGAAATTGAGATAGACATTCAAAAGATAGATCAGAACACATTTTCAAAAGTAGCAGAGACTACAATGGCATTACTGAATAAGTCGTAGATAAAAACTATTAAGTATTAAACTATTAAATAAATTAAATTAAAGTCCTTAAATATTATTTACTTTAATTAGTTTGGTAATTATTTATAAATATTCATTATATATTTTAAATAAAACTATCTTATTTAAATTAAATAAACAATAAAATAAAATGATACTAAAGTGCAGCTTCGTTCATTTATAAAACCGCATAACAAAATAAACAATTCGTACGGAATCTTGTATTAAATTTTTTAATTTTAGTTATAAATAAAAAATTTTTTATGAATTTTTGACTCAAAATAGTTTGCTAATTTTCGTGATTTTTACAAATTTTGTCGGAATTCTAATTTTAAACGCTCATAAAAAATTATTGTAGATTTACACTAAACTGTATTTTTAATTTCCACTAACAACTTACGGGGAACCCTGTATTATATTTTCAGGTTTTTTGACAAAGGGAAACATTTTGGGAAATACATTCGTTTAAAAACTATATGTTATATAAACAAAAATATTCTTTGACTTAGTTAATTAATGTGTGCATCGTTGAAGACGAAACTTATTTTAAAATGGTCATAAAGTATATTATAAATGTGTATACAATTTGAACTTGGGACCTATATGGCTGTTTAAATATATAATAGCTAATATTTTTTTTGTACATTTCAATAATATTATTAAAATTATTTTTTAGATTTATGAAGGAGTTATGTATCATTTTCCATAGTTTTTGCAGATTACTTACTGTTGCATATTTCTCCAAGATTAACCGTTCCAAGTCTTCTGGGCAGTTATGTTTGAAATACACCAGTTCAGCTTTAGAAGATTGCAGACCCTTTTGTATTGCGAAGTTCACTTCTTCGTCCCTAAAATATTCCAATCTTATTAATAAAACGAAAGCAATCCCTACAGTTGACGCTAAAAGTCTTATTGGGTTTCTATTTACTACGTACACGTAAACAATGTCTCTAGACTTAACGTATGCTTGGATAGCGCTGGTCACAGTAGAGAACCCGTACGAGTATATAACGGCTTCTTCCATTCCCATAAATTTAGCGATCTTTTCTTCTAGTTCAATGTGTATATCTAAAAAATGTCTTAATTATCATTAAATTTCTCATTATTTTAATTTATATATATATTATGCTCTACGAATTACATGGCCCTGTTCCTTAGCTCATCAGCCAACATAACAATTTAAAATTATTTAACGCCACTACGCTACGTAATTAAAATCACATCCATCGCAATCAACATTTTTCAGCATACCGGAAATGAGCTATCAAAGTATCAAACTAAAGAATAATTAAGTATTAAATAATTAAACTTTCTAGCTAGCAAAATGTTTTGTATCGAAATTTTGTAAAAAAAAAACTATTTGTCATATTCAAGTGCATACAATGCTAATGGAAAAGTGTAATAAAAATTCCAAGTATCCACTTATTCGTTATTTGTTTTTGAATTACAATAAATTTCAACAACTCGGTTGAGAAAAAATAGTCTATATTAGTGACAATCTATGTGATAATTCTATAATGAATATAAAATGGAAAAAAAATTTGAATTTTGAACTCTCATATAAATGGAATGTGACTTTCGGGTAAACTTATTTTTTGTAACTAGTAGAAACACTTATGAGGAATCTATTGTAGGTATTCAAATTTTAAATCTTAGATATAAAAAATGAATTAACAACAAAATAATGTGCCAAATTCCGAATTACTTATGACAAACCTTGTATTACATTTCAAAGCTTTTTTTATTTAAATTAATTAATGATTAAATAAAAACCAAAAATCGAAAATGGTTATGAAATGCTAATTTAAATATAATATTTATTGAACATATTTTCTAGTTTCTACAGTCATTCATTTTTGAAAAATATCAAAACAATTGTTTGATTTGGGTTCAAAGTAAATATACCAACTAGATCCAATTAATCCTGAAATCAACTTCAAATTTTCTCAAAAATAATTTTTACTGCTCCTAAAGATGACGATAGACATGAAAATAAAAAAACATAGGTACCTATAACTACCTAATTGTAAAATATTTTTGATTGAACAATTTTTATCTAGTAAACCGTGTTTTAAATATAAAACATTTAATACAAGTCAAATAGTCAAATACTTAATAGGTAGTAATACATTTTTTAATCTAATCTATAAAATTTACATATTATTTAAATGTAAAAATTACATTGTCCTATTGTTAGATTCTCAGAGATAATAATAAACATATGATTGTGTGTGTACAATGAAAACGATTTGCATGAATGAATAACAATATATATTTTTTTTATTCTGTTTCTCATTAACTATATATGCAAATTGATGTAATTGAGAAGTCATTATTCATCGATTCTCCATAGGTATTTAAAGACAAATTAGTAAGAGAGTGAACGGTATTATGTATGACAACATTGCTAACAACAATTTGGTGTACATGGTGACAAATTAAAAAACTATAGGTACAATGATTAAACGTCTTACTTACCAAATGTGCCGTAAAATGCCCTGGGTCCGCAAGAACCAATGCCATATTTATTCACAGCATCCACTACATTGTTTTCAATACTTTTATCGCTGATAAAATTAAAATAGTTGTGGGTGGCGAAATTTATACACGATCGGCCATTAATTGTGATATAATGTTCAGTCTAATACCAACAATTAAAAACAAACAAAAACAATTCATACTATAAAACAATATACATACATACTTACATATATAGAAATATACATACATACATGCAAACATAGAACATAGCAAATTTTGCATTTAGCAAATTTAATTTTACATAGGTACCTACACAAAATACTTGCTTCAAAATCCAAGTATCGTAAAAAACTAATGTACAAATACACATATACCTAGTGTTTTTACCTTTAAGTTTGATTATAGTAGATACTTAATTTGCCATGTGTAAGTTTATAAGTCGATTATAATACATGAGGATGTAACATCCTCTTAATTTAATTTACCTTGCCATCAATGATATAGTTTTCCATTGGCAATGCAGATGGGGAAGTTGCATTTACCATAGGTTTTGGAGTCCACAATTGAATCTTTTGTTCTATGTCCGTCTTGAAAAAAAAAGGAATCACGTTTCACATTATTAGACACCAAGTAATAATGATGAGTTTATGTATAAAATACTGAAATCATGTATTAAGTAAGTAAATCAGGTACGTGATTTCCAATTTTTTTTTATTTAAAATGGGATAAACATTTTTTCATTTTTGTAGGAAAAATCTTATTACTCGAGTCAACCACCAATTTTAACATAGAAATGAGATTTTTTCCTTAAAAATGGAAGGTTACTAGTAATAATATTTGTTCGTCAATACCTATTTTTTATTAATATTATTATTAAATAGGTAGGTAGATTTGATAAGTTTGGTGGATCAACTCAGCAACACCATATTTACTGTTATTACTCTATCAGCAACCGGAGTTACACAAACCAATGTCTATAAAAATAAAATAATAAAACAGATAGCTGGTAGTCTGGGAGATGTATAATATTAATTAGATATGTAAATATTTCCTAGAATGTCTACCAGCACTTTTTTTTAAGTGATTAAATTTTTTTGCAGCCACTGTAATCACGCGTATAATATACAAATATTCAAAGGTCAGTTCTATAGTCTAATACATATGCGTTTGTAATTTATATAATAAAGTAAAATTAACTCAATGTTCCCCAAGCTGACAAAATTATCGATTAGCGATAAGTAATAACGAAAATTCGTCAATAATTGTCGTCACCAAGCAGGAAAATAATTTTAAAATAGGTTTTGTCAGTCAATAGAATAATTAAATTGTTCAATACGTTTGTATTTTTATGCGTACGTAGTATGGATGTATAATAACTTACGTTTTCTGATGTTTCGGTCCTTTTTGCATTTGAAGAGCTTGCTTTTTTTTTAAATAATATCCACAAAAGTACAAGGAGTATACTGCCCTCTACGTAAATGTGGTTGAATTGAACCTAAAATATTCCATTAATATAAGATTATATTTAGGGTCTTCAAATAAGTGTAAATAAATATTAAAAGCAAAAATCAGATTATTTTAATCTGTGGTATTGACTAATGACTGATGAACAAAATGGTCTTTAAGTTATAAAAAATTATACAATATTGTGTTAAAACACTTAAAACTAATTACCAGACTATTAAACAATTACATACAAAAACCTAAAATCTAGAATTTCAAATTACTTACTGAAAAAAGAGTGCTTTAGTGCTTTTAAATCTAATATGTCTATTTTAGATTCTGAGCGGGGCAATGAATGTATTGATTTGACAATGATGTGTGTTTTTTAATTTTTTTTTTTTGTGTCTGTGTACCAGATAAGTAGTCGAAATAATGCTTCGATTTTCAACTTCAGTATTTTTTTCAGTGGGAAAGTGAATCTAGTTGGTGCATTTGAGAGGTCGAAACTTAAAATTCCCAGTTTATATTAAAAACGCCGGGAAAAACAAAAATAAATAAACAAGAATTTTTAGGCAAAATTGATTTTTGGTGTAATACTAAAACACATTACCGTAGATACATCAAACTTTTACTAAATGTATGTATTAGCATTTTCTATACACCATAGATTTTCAAAATATTTTGACTCATGTTGAGCTATTTATGGGCAATACACTTTTCGATTATTGTTGGTTTTTTTAAATTAATATTGATAAAAAAATTTTCGCTTGCTCAAAAAACTTGAAAATATAGTACAAGGTTCCTCATAAGTTATCATTAGTGGAAATTAAAATGAAAATTGAGCATAAATCCACAATAATGTTTTATGAATTTCATATTTTGACAGAATACGTAAAAATCATTAAAATGTGCAAATTATTTTGGGTTTAAAAATTAATAAAAATAGTTCTTTTTAAATCTAAGATTTGAAAAATTAATACAATATTTTGTTTAAGTTTATCTAAAGGAAAACCAGTTAAAATTCAAATGTTTACAGAATTGGATATTCACTCGATAAAGTCGACGATTTTAATTTTCAATTTTTTCAGCTTTTTTAGCTTATAGCTAAGGATCAAAAATGTAAAAAAAAGTTGTACACAAATAGTTAATTCTGTAACCAAAACATTTAAATAATATATAAGCCGTTTTTTTTATAGTTATTTCCTGTTTAATTTTGGACAAAATTACATATTAAATATCAAAGAATAAAGATTAAAGTTATTTTGTTGTAATTTAAAAATATTGTTCATACGTACAAGTGACTTATAGAACAGTATTTTATTATATTTTATACACTCAATGACTTTTAAGATGTAATTGTTTTTCAAAAATAAATTTAACCTATTTGTTGTACTTATGCTTAATAGTAACATACATTTCTTTAATCACAATAATATCATCAAATATACTAAATTACTAAGTAATATTATAGGCTAACGTTAAGACCGTCTTCGCTCAGAATCGTTTTTCATATGTAATAATTTTATATCATTAAATTCAAATTCAACACAATCCATTACAGCGACCTTCTAGACACTTAATGTGCAACAGAGCGACATCGACTTAACCGTTTTTTTCACTTACAATAAAGAAACTCATAAATAAACATTAATTAAAGCATTTATACACCTAGGTGAAGAGTGTTCAAAGCCTCGCTTTATATTTAAGACTATGTATATACTTAGACAATTCTGAGTATGTAAATTTTAAATTAATTAGTTTAATATCATCAGTATACCTGAAGTCCTGAACCTAATTTACTATGATACTTATGATATAGGTAATACGTTTTTGGGTCAGTGAGTTTTTTTCGGAGAATTAATTTACATTTTAAATCGATCGAATTGTACAAACACATATTTTTCAAATGAATAACGTTTAATGTATAAATTACAATGGATCCATCTCTGTTGCATAAAGGAAAGATTAAACTTTACAATGTATATAGATTTAACTTTTACCGATGCAAATAATTAAGTAGTTTCTTAATATATAAAATTTGTTACGAATAACCGGCAATCTTTTATCTTTGAAAACATTAAAAATGTTTAGTGGTTCAATGCAACAATATTGAAGGTATGAACAAAATTATACTTTATACTTTTTAATTGAGTACTTTGAAGGCTTATTTAATTGTTATTAATATTTTGCAGATATATAATTTAATAAAAACATTACAAAAGACTTATATTTTATGAAACTTTTCAAACAATTTATTTATTTTATTTGTATTTAAAAATTATATTTAAAAAATTAAAAATCAATATTTATTAATATTTGTTTTGTTTTAACAAATGTATTCTCTTCAGTTTAACTATAAATGGTACATATATCCAACAACCTAAGAATATTATATTATGAGCATAATTTAGTAAAATATTTTTATTGCTTGGTTGAATATTGGTAACACTAAGGTTGCAAATTCAAAAATCTATCACTACTATTATTTTAAACAATAATTTGTTTATTGAAACAATCTAAGGTATGTATCAATTTAGAACGAACAACTTATGCAAAATAGATTTTGTAACTGTAAGTTCTAGGCTTTTAACTACCTATAATATACCAGTATTCACCCTACAATAATACCATATAGAACTAGAAATATTAGCCTGTGATATTATCTGTTTTCTCAAGGAATTATCTCTTCCAACTATTGATCCACTATCCATACAACTAAACATTTAAATAACTATTATCAATTTTCGTAATGTTAAAGATTTGTTTTATTATTATTCAGTGCATACACAACATATACCTTATAACATTAAATGTATTTAAAATGTGTGGAACTGCAGCAATGATTTTATAACAAAATAATAATTAAGACTGTGCTTTCCACTATAGTTGTGAGTCATGTCTAGTGAAATGAATGGTATGTATGGAATGAAACATATTAATTCACACACTTTGAAAATCTAGTAACCTACATAGTATAAACTTCATAGTTCGTAGACAATGGGTTTATTAGTGGTAACAAATGATTAATCACACAAAGATAGAAAGAAATACACGAATATTTGAATAAGTAGAATTGATATAGGAAAATACAATTGATGAAAAATGCAAAAAGTATTTTATTTATTTTTAGAATTTAATCTGTTTAAGTATTTATAAAAAAAATCATTTTATTGTATTATGATATGAATAACGTTTTAGAAAACTGTTTTATTTAATTTTAATTTTGTTATCTTGATAATATGCTGAAATGTAAGCGGATGTCGCATAACATTGGTTGCATAAATACCTACCTAGCATTGTGTTTGGAGAATAGAAGTATGAATCACTATAATTATTACGGAACTCTTACTTGTAATTTAGCTGTACAGGTAAAATATAAAAAATTAACTTTTTAACTTTTTTTGTATTGAAGCAATGATTACTATTTTTACATATTATAACTATGCGGTAAATATAAAATCAGAATTAAAAAAAAAGATTTTTACATTAACTAATAATATTTTGACGTATTGTATTTTAGTATATATTGGCTAATTATCTAATTACATAGAAAATACATATGAATATACATATAAATAATTTGCAATACAAGCTATTGATGTGTTCTCACTACTTTATAAGTATAAAGTTAACTTTATGTAGGTACCTAATTAGTATTTTAATATCTATATTAACTGAAACCAATAATACCACTTTAAATTAAGATTAATTCTACTTAAGAGGATGTTATGCAATTATTTATTGTCTATTAAATGGTTTTAATTGTTTATTATAAAAATTCAAGTATCGTAAAATACCCAATATTCAAACACAGATAATGTCCTCACCATCAAGTTTCATAAGAGGTCGATTCATTCTAATTTTAAACCAACGGAATGAAACTTAATCTGCTGACTGCTGAGCTTAAATTTGCTATGTTACGCACTTGAAACGCAAAAAACTTTTAAGGAGAAACAAATGGTTGTGTAACGTCCTCTTAAACATACTCGAATTACTTTTCTTAAGTTTTTTTTTATCAAATATTAAACATTATTTTGAGTATAATCTAGTTACTTTAAGTCAGGGGTGTCCAACCTTTTGTGAAGACTGGGCCACATGATATAGGTAGAAGTTGTTGTGGGCCACATACTTTTTTTAATAATAATACATTCAAATTTAATGATTAAATTATATTATACAAAACAACAATAAATTTTTTTATAATTTTATAATAGCGAATAATAAGCAGAAATATTTTTACAAGTACCTATTAATATTTAATTATAAGTACACAGAAAAGTATATTCATTTAAAATAAAAAAAAAGTTTTAGTTTAAAAAAGTTGAAAGTCATTAGTTTTATTTGATTTGAAATGTGAAATGTCTTTTTTTGTGAAAGTAGTGAATCAATATCTGGATCGATTGAAGTTGTGGCAATCTTTATGCAGCGGTAAAAACACGGACGTGTGCATCGGCCCTTACAGTTTATTTGATGTTTTATATTGTTACAATAAATTTGTTCTCTTAATATTAATATATTATACATAATTATTAATTCATGGTTTTTAAATTGAAGTGAGGGCCGTATTAAAATCTACCGCGGGCTTGAGACGGGTTGGACACCCCTGCTTTAAGTATTCAATCATAATTTGTATAATACTATTGATTCGGTGTTTCCGAATTGCGTGAGCAGTTTTTTCACGACTGTGACGAGTAACATGCACGGTTAGTTCGGTCAGATTTCATGGATCAGTCAAAATATTGATAAAAAATGTAGTATTAATTCATTAAATCACTGTAAATTAAATGATATGAAAAATGTTGTGTTCGTAGAATACACCTTGTATTCGAACTACTCATTTTGATCAGTTTATACATTTTTCAAAACTTCTACAAATTGGAAAATGTTTGAATAAGACTAGTAGAACATATTACTGAGTTTCGAATGAATAAAATTACAAAACCCGAGTTCAGAACTCCAAAACTCAAAAAATTGCTTTTTCGGATTTAATCTATTTTCTATTATAATGGCGTAAATTGTAATATGGAAAATGCTCTCTCATAAACAATAATT